CACCTGCTCCGGGGAGGTGTTCAGCAAAGCAAGAGCGGAGTCATGTCCATGGGGGAGAGAGCACCCGGCCACCCAGCCATCTCCCTCTTGGGAGCTGTCAAAGGCACCTTCAGACTGAGCTGTGCGAAGGAGTAAAGACACCAGTGAAAGCAGTTTGGCATTGGCTCTTTAGAAATTTTTTTAGCTTGAGGAAGCCTCGGCAGCCTTGTAGGCTCCAAGTAACATGCAAGGGGACCCAGCATTTGTGGGCCAGCAGGGTCATACCCAGGAGGTCAGAACCCTGGTGTACAGCAGATGGAAGATGAGACTCCGTGTCCCCTCTAATCTCTCCCTTACCCTCCTGATCTGTTTTGTCAATGGTAATACATCAGCTATTCCAAATATTCCATCTTTTCCCCAGTTTTCCTTAGGATTAGGAAAAGCACCAAAGCAGAGTATGAGAAAGGCTTTTGTACTCTGCTAGAGGCAGATGTAAGCTGATGAAGTTCTCATCTCTGAGGAAGGTCTGGGTTAGATTAGGATTTACAGTTTTGCCTTCACATAGCTCTGATTCCCATAGAGCTGGGTACCCCTGCAGCCCTCTGGGTTATTTCCCCTGTTTAAGTGTAGATGTGCATTGCCTCTAGGTGCAACTCCTCAGGCGTGTGGTTTCACCCTTGGTGCCCAGTCATGGTAACACAAGAGCACACTCACACACACATTTCCAGTTCAAGAAGTTCAAATCATGGCCCCCACTTACTTCAGATGCAGGTCTACAAGGGAGCACAGAGGTGCTGGCAGCCCCTGGCCCCAAGAAAAGCTCTGATGAAAAGCACACAGAAAATAGTTTTCAGTTACATCATGGTTGTTTCACAAATCAACTGTATTTACCAATTACTCTTTTTTTTTGCCTTCCGTTTTGTAGCTGTAAGTGGTTCATGGCTTTTGCCTGTACCTTTGATCTCCTAGTAACAGCTTTAGATCTTACCATAAAATTTATGAAAATAAATTTCATGCTCAGAATGCTCATCCTGTGGAATGAGAGACAAGGCTTAAGCATCTTTAACATTCCTCTGGCAGAGCACCTACATAAAAAAATGATAAGGAAGTAGTCTGGGCTATATTTGCAGCCAACAGCACTTTCCTTCCCACAAGTAAAGGCATTTCCATGTGTTCAGACCCTGTTCTCCCATTGGGGAGGATGCTTTGAGGTGGATCTATGAGCCCAAGGTCATTTAGGAACCTATGAAAAACAAGGCTCCTAAAAACGGGCATAAAAGCTTTAGATATTGGTTCAGTTGCTTGCTCCATCCGGAAGCTCTCAGCTGTTTATATTAGCTCTGTAATTTAGCATTTTGAGGCATTAACTTTGCACTGAAGCTGTTGTTTGAAAAGAGCAGATTTCATGTAGCTCATAAAGAATTTAGTACAGTTGTATCCCATGCTGAGCAGACACTTAATCACCTATAGACTTCCTGTGCGAGAGCAGTCCTGCGGAGGCCAGTGGAGCTATTCGCAGAAGTAAAGTTAATTGCCCATTTGTTCTAGCATTTGCCAAACCAAGGCTTTGATTCTCAAGTGTTTCACTGTGCTTTCCTGCATCAGCGATAGCCCTGTAAAATTCACATGTGACAGCCTGCTAGTGGGGAAGCAGCTCAACCTTATAATTCATTTCATTTGAGCTATCAAGCAACGGTTACAATAGCATGGGTTTTGGAATCAGTTTTACAGATCTTAAAGCTGTTTTAGATCAAGTTTGGGGTTTTGTTTAAATAATTTATTCTCCCTCTGTTGTACTTGCACTGCGGCAGACCTGCAGGGTAACAGCTGCAGAAGAGAACGTGACCCCTCTGGCACCCCCAGGTTTGTCCCTGTGCCACCCTCCCTTGGTCATTGCTTCCACCTCAGAAAAATCACCCAACCTCTGCCCTTGTACATGCTCCAAATGCCACTATTTTTCCTCCTGTGCATGTGTGGCAGCTCCCAGGGCCGGACAGGGGGATACAGCTGAGCTTGATGGCATCCCCAGCCCAGAAGGGAGTAAACCATGGCTATACAGCCAGAGCACCCACAAGCCCCCTACCCCTGCTCCTGCTCCCAATTTGTAGGGTCTGTTAAAAAACTGATTGGAGAAGATGCAGGACCCAGCTGGGGGAGGGGGGGGGCATGGGGCAGGAGTTTGCAAACGATCTCATGTCCCTCAGGTGGGAAATCAGGGCAAGTCAGCCCTTTCCTAATGGGGGCCAGCTGGGAGCAGCAGTCCTTTGCAAGGGCTGGGGCTTTTTGTGATACGGGCGTCCACTGGCAGGGCAGGGGCTAGGATCAGCTCACTCAGGGTGGGCTAGGAGTAACCCCATGAATTGCGACAATTTTCCATTGCTGGATCCCTGCTCCATCTCTAAAGTGGGTGTTAGCCTGGAAACTTAAACCTGGGGGTTTATAGCATGGCTACAAGTGTTTATTTTCTGTGAAAATAAAGAACTCTTGAGCAGTCTAACAGCCCTCCTGGCTCTGCCCGCAGCAGAGTGAAACTGTGGGTCTCCTCCCAGGTTAATGGTGCTGGGTTATTTCTAAATAATCTCATTTGCCGCTACATGAACATGGAGCTGGAATCACATTTCTCTGAGGCTGCTCTAGAGTAAATTACAGTGTCGATGTAGGTGTTTGGCCAAAAAAAGAATTGCCTCCATTACTCTCTGACTGCCTTTAAGTAGCACCTAAGCTTTTTGTAAGGGCTCGGTGGTTTTGGGTTGCATGTAAATGTCATTAACAACAAGCTTTTGGCCAAAAGAAATAACTTCTCCCCCCTCCTCGCTCAACCAAGGATTTGTAGGAGACCAGGTGGCCCAAGTGTTTGGGAGCAGGGTTTGGCAAAGGAGACATTTTCGAAAGTTGGACTTTGCTAAGATGAAACGTAGCTGTTGCTGCTGTCTTGTGGCCAACTCCACTGCTTTTTTCTTTTTAAGTCTCAAGTCGTGCTGCTTTATTACCCACTGAACAGACAAGATGCACAAACCTGTGTATGAAAGGAGTGAAATAGCCCAGTCCAAAGAACATTCTGAATTTTCAATGCCCTGAGGCTATTGATTTGGTTTTTTAAAGTGCATCTCAGTGCTACTTACTGCAATGTTATGTTCTTGTTTCTAATTCTGTAGGCGTGGGAGGCAGTGAGTTGCTTTCTGAAATCTTGCAATAAAAGCTTGGTATGAGGGGGAGGGAGTTTATACTGTGGAAAATGCCCACGCTTTGCTGAGAGAGATGTATAGTGCTGATCTTTGGCTGAGAAATATCATTTGCTCATCTCAGATCCAGGGCAGGTTATTTGAAGGTCGCATGGTCCTCAGCAAGACGTGTTTGATGGGACTGCCAGGCTGCCCTGGATGCGCTCATCTTTGTCCCTCCACGGGGACAAGCCAGAAGGCACCAGCGGGCAAGGAGAGAGCTGTGCAGCAGGCAGGAGCCCACCCCTATTGCATCGTTATACATAAACATTGTTCACATCCCCTCACCCGGAGCAACAGGCGAGTTTGTCGGGGAGGCTTTATGGGAGAAGCAGATGCAGAGGCAACTGCATAGCAGAGGGGACCTGCCCCTCTTTTGGGTGACTGTTGCTATTCAAGGACCTCAGCTTCGGGCCCATGGGGAAAATAAGGTGTGTACAGGTTTCTGGAGGTCCCTGCAGTGCCCACGGCACAGTTGGGTTTGTGCAGACATTGCAACAAGGGACCCCAGGGATGCAGCTCAGAGGGAGGGGAAGTTGTTGGCTGTGGCGCTGATGAAGAAGATTTTTAACATTTTAAGTATAACTAGAGGTTCAGAACCTGTGTGCACTGCTGAACAGCGTAGGACCCACAGGGCCAGTAAGAAAACCAGTGCTGTTCGTTGGCAGGTCCAAGAACACACTGGAGCTAGAAACCCAGAAGTTGTTTGTGGCTTGGAAGTTGGGCTCTGGTCAAGCGGCTGAGCAGGGGCATAAATCAGAGCAGACAATAAAGGAAGGGAGAAGTTGAAGAAGTCAAAACAGCTTACAGAGAGCTGGACATGCAAAAACAAATAGCAATGTTTCAAGTATGCCAAAAGCAAGAAGCTTGAGAATGTGTCAGCAGAGCTGCCAGCTTACTGGGGCATGTGAGGAAGCTGAAACTGTGATTGAGAAACACTGTGACTTCCACGCAGGAGTCATCATCATTGCAGCTGAAGGTCCTGATTCCAGTCTGCTTCTTTAAGGTAACAGAGAGGAGGTGCTGTCAGGGGCAGGGTTTGGAGAAGACATTCAGGTGCAAGCTGATGGCTTGAAAAGCATTCAGCCTCTGCATCAAGATGGTTCACCCAAGAATTCTGCAGGAGCTGGGCTGAATCCTGCAAACAAACATATGCATTTCTCCATTAAAACCAGCTGCTGTTCTGAGGAGCTGGAGGCTTTGCCTGTATTTTGAGAAAAGCTTTAGGATTGGTCCAGACAGTGATGGATAGAAAGATGTGAGGGAGCTGTTCCTGGCAATTTAATAGGAAAGATAATTAGCAACAGAATGAGAAAACACCAGGAGGATGAGAGAAACCAATAGAGCCCAAGGACATGCTCACATTTCTGTGTTGGAGGACGCTGTCTCGTTGCTCTGTTAGACTTATCTCGTGCCAATGAAGCGGAGGGTAAGCAAGAAGCAGCTGGTATAATGTACGCTTCTGCCCTGCGCAGGCAGCTGTCAAAGAGCTAAATGGGGTGACTTGCAGCAGATTGCCTGGGTAAAGAAAGCAAGTGGTCCCAAAAAAGAACCAAGCAGAGTCCTGTGACACCTAAAAATCATCCGGAGGGGTAGTAGCCCAGCTAGGCTGGGCTGTGTGTCCAGCCATTCTCCTTGGGTTAGTACAGTTGGGGTGCGTTTGGATGACTGTGGCTGCTTCTGAGGTTTGGCTGTGATCTGTGCCTCCCACCGAGCCCTGTCTGCCTGCCAGCCCGCCGTGTGGGGGACCCCTCTCACCAGGGGTGAGGGTCTCATTGCTGCTCTGCTCTCCCCCCGCAGGAAAGTCCCACCTGGCCATCGTGCAGCGGGTGAACAATGAAGGGGAAGGAGACCCATTCTACGAGGTGATGGGCATTGTCACCCTGGAGGATGTCATTGAGGAGATCATCAAATCCGAGATCCTGGATGAGACGGATCTGTACAGTTAGTGTCCCAGAGCAGCTACTGCGGTTGCAGGAGCCAGGGTGGGAGCCTGCACAGACAGACAGACATGTGGGTAGGAAACAGGCCAGAGCAAATTGTGGTCCTTCCCCAGAGCAATTCAAAGTCATGGTGGGAAAACAAGAATGATGGAGAGATGCTGGTCAGATGTGAGGGAGTCTTGAATGCTTGAGATAAGAGAAGCACCAGCATCAGCCAGTGTTCAGGCAGGGCCTGCCCCAGGGACACGTGTCAGGCATGAAATGCCCATGAGTGGTTCCCAAGCTCCCTTCCAGCTCTGGGTGATGCATCCAGCCAGGGCAACTCAGGACTTGTTCCTGAGAAAGAAGCATATTTCACCACCTTGCTCCCTCCCCAGGGAGCTGCTCCCAAGGCTGTGATACACGGCACATTTTGTGCTCCTGGCTGC